CTGACCTCCTTAACCACACGCCCAGAATAAATGTTCTCTTTCCACCCTGCTTTAAAGTATACCTGTCATTAGCATTAAATAGACTGTCATTTCTGACCTTCCCATTTAAAGAGGAGCTCCAGGATTTTCAAAAGTTAACCCTTGCAATAGGCCTTACCTGATCTTCGATCCTGCATGGCTGCTAGCGTGTTCATCTTCTCCTCCCCGGGCTCCGGCACTCAACCCGGCTGACATCATCATGTCTATTGCATTAGGCTTGAGAACTCCAAAGGGCATACCACAGCCAGAGCGGAGGGGCAGAAAGGGGAGCTGTCACCGCCGCAGGATCGAGGATCAGGTACGTGTGCAGGTAGCCCCACTGCAAGGGTAAAATCCTGGAAAACACCTTTAGTTCCCTGGCTGTCCTACCGAATCTTGGCTATAACAATTTGAGTCTCTAACCCAGTATAAATATAGAGATAAGTTATTGTGACACTCATTTATAGGATGCTTGTTGCAGGTATGTGGCTCAAAAGTATTGAAGCCAGGCAAGTAACATTTTTGAGGAGTAGCCACTACTCTGCTCTTATATTTGTGTAACATTGTTTTGATGTTCTCCAATAACATTGCAGAGTAATATTTCAGCATCATTTGATGACATTTAACTCCTCTTTTATCCAAACTGTGAGCCATTGTGCTACCATTAAAGGTTATAGTCAGCACTATGTAATCTGGTGTGGCCTTGAAATATTGCATGCTGCTGAAGCCTGTTAGAAGTATTCTCTGTGGTCTGTTTATAGATGAACTCCAGGCAGATATAAAAGTCACAAATTAATGCAACTTTGTATTCATTAATGGATCATTACATTTACGTTGTTTACAAATAAAGCAGACTGGCAGAGGGAGACATAGCACAGTTGTGTTGCAGTGCTTATGTGGCTAACACGGAACATGTGTACAAGAGTCTAGGTTATATTAAAAATATTGAGTTGACACCAGAAAAAGCATAGAAGGGCAATCTTCCAATGGGGGCACATGTTCCATTGACAACAGTCTAAGAATGGATTTCCCTCATATTGGGAAGATATATTTTTTGACTTTCTGCTGAGTCTATGGGACAGGAAGTGAAGGAAATGCCTTCTAGTGAGGCAGAGATGGCATACAAAAACTAACAAGAGTTTTTAACTCTTCCTACTCTATCCAAATGGGAATCAAGGCTTTAGATATTGTTTAAGTGCAGCACAGGAAAATCAGGTGACTTGCCCTGCCAGACAGGGCTGTGTTGTCTGGCAAAACTGTGAAAAAGCTCAGAACTGAACAGAATTGCAAATCCTTTGGCAGGTAAAGCAATTGTCTTTATAATTTCATGTGGATGTTTTAGTTTGCCTGGAGTTCAGCTGTAGGAGAATTATGGGGTGAGTGAAAAACGCTCATCCCCATAATTCAAGCTGAGCCACAGGTTGGCTCTATTGATCAGAAAGTCAGTGCTCCCCGCATGGATTCCTCCAGCGCTGAGTGGTGGAACGGAGTGGGCGGGACAGCTGTCAACCGGCCAGCGGGGTGGATCTCGACAGTATTGTCCCTGGTATTGGCTGCTGCATGGCTCTGCACTCTCAGAATATAGCAGCAATATCCCACTATATACTGAGTTTTGGGTCACTGGAGGTCATTAGTATATGTCCTTCCGTGACACTAAAGGGAAGTATGGGCAAAAAAAGGTTGCCTCATAGTTCACCTTTTTTAACAATATTTTCATAATGTCAGGTGGGGTGCTAAAATAAACTTGTATATCAGCCACCATTACTTGTCTGATGCTATGTTTGTACTGGCTTTTAAAGCGTCGTATGAATTCAAAAGAAAATGTCACTTTTCCTTCAACTCTGCCAATGAGGTTGAAGAGAAATGTCATCTTTTCTTTTTTCTGTATTGCCTTAAACTTTACTAGGCCTTTGAAATGAATCGAGGTGAAAGTAAAAATTGATCCTTTACAGGGGTGTGGACATTTTTAAAAAAACGACTTGTCCCTCATGAAAATCTACTTGTCCTGATACAAGAAAAGAAAAAAAAAATAACCATAACTGTATTTAGCAATGCCAAGAAGAGCTTCTCGTTGGTCAGTGCCGTCAGATGAATGCGCTGACAACGAGTGCTTAAATTTTGTGAGCGAAATTCAGATTACAATGGCACATATACAGATAGTACACCCATAATGGCGGATGGGAAGGACCGTTCCCTGAAAGGTAAGTATAGCGGACCTCATTGATTTCAATGGGGTTACATCCGCGTGTTAATCTCTGAATGGTTTCAATCGCGATTATGTGCGATTGCACGGGCGTTATTGCGCCAGGAAACTGCGCAATCTGCCTCGCGCGACTGGGGTGCCATTAGACAATAATGGCACTGCCAGCGGGTTCGGCGGTGGTGTGCGATTCTGTAGCCGCCCGGCCATCCACATGGTTTTGTGCACAATTGCCGTGTGGTGACGGATCGCCCACTCCGCTCACACACACAATGCCGCATGCATGCGTTTATTTTCATGCAGATGATAGGGCTTGGTTTAAATTTTTTAGATTTTATTTTACTTTTTTTTTTGCTTTGTAATATTTTTTTTATCACTTTATCGCCTTTTTTTCTCTTTTTATGTAATTTACATTTTTATTATTTTTTCCTATTTTATGTTTACATTTTTAAGTGTTATATATTAAATGTTTAACTTTTTTTTTTTCCACTTGACTTTATTGCTATCACACAAGGGTAACAAGCCCTTGTGTGATAGCTTTTGGAGGTGACAGGTTCTCTTTATTGACCCTGTCACCTCCAACACAGAAGTTCTAGCACAGCACTGTGCTATTTCTCCTGTGACAGGATGGCTGCATTCCTGTGTCACTGAACCGTTCTCTGCCTTGCTCCATGCTCTGGAACCTAATTTTGCCGTGGTCACAGATCTCCCACGAGGGGGGGGGGCCCCAAAGGCTATGGCAAAAAGGAAGCCCACATGCAGAGAGACAGGCAGCCGGGAGCGGTACACGGCCAGCCGCTGGAGATGGAGGAGAGGGGGAGGAGGAGAGGGGTGGGGGAGCGAGGAGCGTGATTCAGGCAGGTTGCGAGTGATTTTTGGACGGCTGTACAGCCGTTTAAAATCACTTGTACAAACCGGCTCCCACACTACATTTAGCAGTGGTGCTTGCCCGCAGCCGGCCTAAATGTAGAAAAAAAACGACTCGCCCGAAACAGCATGTCACGGGCGATAGAAATTCCACACCCCTGCTTTAGTAAATCAGCCCCCTTGACGGCAAGAAAATGACTTTCAAAAGGTTCCCTTTTAAACAAGTTGCGTACTTCAGGAGCTTGTACAGGAAAAATGGAACAAACAGGTAATGCACAGAATAAAGCCACTTTAGGTGTAAGCTGTGAATGGCCACTGCTTAGATGGAGTGAACTGGAAGGTTTGCTCTTCTCTTAATTGCAGCTGGCCAGTTAGTCTGCCATCATGCAACATCATAGTTGCAAATAGTCCTAATTTGGACACTGTCCTGCAGAATCCATTGTCAACTATGATCTTGGCAGGGGTTACTGTTACCGCCACTGACACCAATGTTGGGGGTTTATTTTACTCTCCTTTTCTGTGTTCCCTCAGGCCCTATTTCGTCTAAAACAGAGCAATGTAAAGGGGGAAGGATGCCACACTACAAGTCATATGCTGTAATGGGACATCCACTTTATTAAACACAACTATGCACATCACATTTTTCTATTTGATTCATTTAAGGTGTCTCTCCTAATAATGTGGCAACTAAGCAGCATGGTATGTGAAGCTTCCCTAGCTCTCTAGGTCCTTTTTTTCATGTTTAGGGGACAAGAATTCATGCTTTCTATGATGTGCATAAAAACATACAGTGAATGCATGGACGAAGTAAGCCCCAGACATTTTGGGCTTCCTTTTGCCGAGCACAGCCAAGAATCATGCATATCAGAAAGCATGCTGATATAATACCATACATAAAGGCCAAATGTAAATATGGATTCAGGGGAATAGGAGATCTGAGCTCTTTTGAGACTTGATAGGAGCTCTCAAAAGAGAACACGATACAGGAATAGGTGAAAGGTCTGCTTTGTTTGAATACAGTAAAAGAGCTAATGTGTTTTTTCAAGTGTGCATATCCTTTAATAACATTTAGATGAATCATTTACATTTAAAAGGCCCTCTGAGAATGTAATTGCCGGCTCTGGCACAGTCCTTCCAACACTTTACTTATTTGCTGACTTGGAACAAACATGCAACCAGAAAGGCTTGCAAACTCCAACCTGCTGTCCTGCTTGTTTGTTTCAGGTCAGTGACTCAAATGGTAGAGCAGGAGTAGGGATGACGGCTCCTCAGGCCGCACTTTTAAAAAAAATAGCTTTGGCATAATTCTGTCCTTAGAGGATGACTTTAAGTGGATAAACTGTACCTACAACATTTCCAACACACAACAGTATTGCTGTAAAATATATGTATTTTTTTTTTGTGGTAAATCAGGGTAATCCTGCCCCAGCAATGTATTGTTAGCATCACTTTCTTACAGAACCACATTTAGGGCTTGTGTCGATGAGTAAATACAGCATGCTATCAGGTGCATTTTGCTTACAATTTCAAAATGCTTCTGGGATCATTCACATATGCGTCTGACCTGATTCTAAGTAGCATCAACCTGCTTTTGTATTCCCATTGACTTGTTTGGAGAGAAAAGCAGTTCTAATGCAATAAATGCCCATATACACAAGTCCTTGGAAAGGTGCATAGAGGTAGTAGAGGTAGAATGTAAAACATAATCGGTTATCACATGTTACTTTATAGTAACCCACACATTTTTCAGTCTGGCTAGCTAATCTAATGACTAGTCCACAGCACAGAAAGAATTGCTTGCTGACTCTTGCTACCATCTGCATTTGTGGTGTCTCTAAGCCTGCAGCACCACTAGCTACAGTCTTGTGTGAATGGACATAGCGGGATTTTGCCATCGTGATATGTCTGGGCCTACCTAATTTTTGCATGCATGCACGGAGCCTTTCTTCAAGATTGGACACTCTGCTCTGCAGTTCCTCGTAGTCATAGGCGCCAATCTCCTCCTGAAGCTCGTTAAGCACTGACGTCAGATTCTGGACCTCCTCCTTAAACTGCAATACCAATTTGGCATCGGCTTTGTACTCTTCCAACACTGGTATCAGAGGCCTAAGTTCCTCCATTTTCGCTTTTATTGCCTGCAAGGTTAAAATAAGCTGGTTCAGTGCCATGCATGCAAAACTTGGCAACACCCTGACCTGCCTGCACTCTGCTTTTCTATTCTACCCGGCCTGCCTCCCCACCACAGTGACATTGTGACCTCCCAAAAAGGGCAGTGTGAGCAGTGCACTGTAAAGTACCATATTTAAAAAAATCTTCAGTACAACTTATTTGGGAAAGGCCTTTATTAATCATTTTTTTTTCAAATGCAACAACTTTATGGTTACATGCTTCTTTTTTTTTGAAACACATACACAAAGGTTTTTTTTTTCTTTAAATAAAAAATAGAATGCATTGACAAGGGTTAAAAATTCTTCATGAAATGCAGCTACATTTGCATGCAAAGGAAGATTGGATTTCAAAGTGTTGAAGGTTCCTTAGTGAGATAGCTCTAATCGGGAGAATAAGGCGTAAAAAAAAGTAATAAAAAAAGAAGAAAAAAAACAGCGAAAAAATAGGGGGAACAAAAATAAAAGTCTGATTGGTGCCCAAACTGCTGTCTTTCATGGTAACATAGGAGTTAACTGCCTCTTCAGTCACTGCAATTTAAGTTAGCCCTGTAAGCAAGAAAATGAAATACCGTTGAAGTCTTTGTGCACTAAACTGCTTAAAAACAAAATTTTTAAGAAACGGACGCTCATTTATTTATTAAGGCTGTAAAAAGAGCATCAATGATTTCTAGGAACCTATCTGATTTCAGACTTCATCAGTTCTAAAATGTATCTATAGCCATTTTATTGGGTTTTGGATGAAGTGGGGAAGGAATAAAACCCTGTTAGACTTTACTGCTGTCTGGGGTTCAGTTAGAGAGATTTCTTCTTGCTCACTATCTCAGGAACAACCTTTTCACCAGAGAGGAAGTTAAGGAAACTTTCCAAGAGCTACACAGACAAAAGTAAAAATGCCTTTCTTTAAGTTAAGTAGGAGAGCACTATGCTACAGATTTTTATTGTTGTCTGTTTCACTGTTCACTTTCTTTCTGGTAAAAAGTTGCAACCAAAACAGGAAGTGAGGGGAAATCTCTCAAACATAACCCCGGATAGCAGTAGAACCTGACGGGTTCAAACCTTTCCCAATTTTATCCAAAACTAAAAAAAAAGGTTTAGCTATAGATACACTTTAATCAGTCACAAGAAGGTAACATAGTTGCTGTTTGAGTACTGTAGGTTACTGTTATTTAGGGGGCCCTAAATTGTACAGTCCCATCCCTGTATCTTTCAGCCCAGTGAGATTCTCAGAAGAGGAGTGAGCCATTTAGGGCTTACGTAGTCAACAAGTTGGTGTGAACTGATGCCATAGGACATAAGGCAAAATGCCTTTTTCTTGCATTGAACATCATAGCCCAACACAGCCGAATGCCGCTGGCATTAGCAAGCCCTTATTCTCACTGAGGAGAAGAACGGGAGTGGTAAGTGTGTGCACCACTTTTTTTGTTTGTTTTAAGTCTCCAAATAATCAAAATTGTAGAAATAGACTAAAATGCTTTTGGACTGGCAATACAATGCTTCCCATCAACTTCCAGAGCCATTTTGATTGATTGCTTAAAACTGAAAATTGTGGGTGGCATATTGTGTAGGCCATCCAGTTCCATGTGGTCTTTTGGTGAGGGAAAGCTTCCAAATTGCTACACATATGGCCAACATTATACCTTGCTCTTTGCCTTAGTAAATACAGCGTACTTTCCTATTCCCACTAAGTATATAAAGGCACAATTCAAACTTTTTAAATAGCGCTACCCTTTTCCGTTTTTTAAAAAGAGAATTCTCAATAACCACACAGTAATATGTTGCATGCAAAATAAATGCAGTTAATTACTACTCCAATACAGTATTAACATATATTATAGATTTTAAAATCACAACTGTTCTAGAAAACAAACATTAAAAAAAAAATATATATATACACACACACAACATATTTCCCTTAGTGAGAAGAAAATTTTGTGTAATCATCCTACTTTAGGAACTTTAACTACATTTACACTTTAGGCTACCTCCACAATAAATGATGCCAGTCTTCAGTTGGTGTATTTTCTCTTTGTTTTGTTAGGGTTTCCTGACTGACATCTGTCCAAATGGTCAATGGACCAAATGTACTTGTATGAATTGACTAGTAGAGTTGGAGAAGGAGCTGGTGGGAATGGTTCTATGTATTCTGGAAAGTGCTGCAAAGGATAGCGCTACAGATAAAATAACCACACTTAGGTGCTCATGGCCATTTCTGTTGTACTATTTATATATACAATTTTTTTTATATCTCCAGACCTGCTGACAATCTATTGTTTTGTATGAATGGAACAAGAAAGGTCATTTTGATGTGACCACTGCTGAGATCACATTTTGGTAAGTGAGATCTTTAGTTTTAAACCTGTCCTGTTTTGGCTTGAAGCTGAAGTTTGTCACACGTTACGACCTGATCATACAATCGTTATTACATTTCCCAGCAACTATGTAGCTCTATGGTATACCTAAGCTGTAACCTCATTTACTCAATTATTTAATCACTCATATTAAATCGCTGATAAATGTAAATTAATCAATGGATAATCAGACTGTGTGTGTGAACAATTTTAGTTAAACTGCCCTTATAGCCTTATAGCATTTGGCATCTGGACTCTGATTTATCGTCAAAAAATGGTTTTAAAAATAAAACCAGGGTTCTGTCTTTATTAAATGGTAGTAATTCCACTGTACCAGGAGAATTTGGGAAAATTGAATTATCCCCACCAATCTGCCCAATCTCGCCTCACATTGACCCCCCGTCCCCCACGCTGCTCTTACATGTCAACGATCACTTGTGCTTTCCATTTGCAAATTTGAAATACATACCTCAGGGCTGCTATCCGTATACAGAATGCAGATATTACACCGGCAGTCATGGAGAGGAAGGAACGATCATTCACCGGTAAGAGCGGGGGGATGGGTACGGGGTGCAGATTGGTGGGGGTAATTCCATTTTCCCAAATTCATCTGGGAAGATGAAATTACCCTTTTAAACTTGCTTGTCTTCTTTTTGTGTGGGCTTCCTATATGTGTCAGTTCCCCCTTAACCTATAATAAACTGAAAGGTTAATTGGCTCCTACCCAGCCTGGCTCTGTAGAGCCTGAAATATGGTGGTGGGGAATGGGATTGATTATATGTGCCCTGTAAAGGTACCCATACACCTTACAATTATCTGCAGATTTTCTGTGGTCAGATGGAAAAAGTGCAACAGATTGGCCGAGGTGGAGATTACTCCATCCACACAGTTAAGTGTAGATGGAGGAATCTGTTGCACCTTTTCCATCTGACCATAGGAAATCTGCAGATAATTGTGAGGTGTATGGCCAGCTTAATGCTCTGTGTAAAGCTGTCCATACACTAAACAATCTGATTGTACAGAGATGTTTACCAAAACTATGTAATCAGAGTACACATCTAAACAATCCATTCAATTTGTATCAAATCTGATGGATCTAAAGGATGTTTGTACAGTTAGATTGTATGGGATATGGTCATCTTAATATATGCACCCTGATCAAAGAGGAACAATACATTTATTAGTTGTCTGTGCATTTCTGAAAATCATCTGAGTTTTGTGCAAAGGGAATGTGTATTTTATTCATATACGGTTTATTGAACCATGTTCTATAAGGCAGATGTGTCTGCCAGTCCCTTAATACTTGCAGTTTGTTTTGTTACAGTCTGTGTCTAGACATTAATATCTAGAAATCTGTGTGTATTGGTTTTGATGCATTTTTAGAAATAAACACACTCTGCAATCACAAAGTAAGTGAGGATGTAGCTCAATCCAGTGTGAGATCCACCTATCCTGGCTGGTATCCCTGTTATGGGAGTAAATCTATGGTTGTTTTTTTCCCATATACTAGTATCATTTGTATTCTGCAACAAAGTCAGGCACTCAGGAAAATAGACATCTGTTGTTTCTCTCTAGAGGTAAGAGAAAAGTGTATCTCACTGTGCCTTCTTATCAGCAAAATAATACATTGACTAGAAGGACATCAGGAGCTAGTTTGTAATCTGGACACTTTGTGGAAAATAATAGAAGACTGTAATTATAAGATATGTACAGACATGGAGCGTTCTATTTTAGTGTGAGCCTGGTGACCCAGTTCAGACCTATAAGCTGCTGTTATTGGTGAGCAGGGCTCTGAAATGACAGCTCAGTGCTGCAGCTGATGGGCTATGGCCCTGATAAGGCTAGAATTTTCCTTCCAATACCGCCTCTCTCCCAGCGGGAGCAATTAAACAGGAACAAGTGACAGCAGAGCCAAAGACATCCTCCATGACAGTCTCATGGTTGACCTTGGCTGGTGAAAGTTTCTGGAGTTTTCTGTAATGTACAATGAGGCACTTATAGAGAGAACAGCTGCTCCCAGCTCCTGACATAACCCAACACAAGGGAATATCTATAGTGATGGGGCCAGATGAGTCCAGACCCATTAACAATTCATAGGACAAAGCTGGGGCATCATATGTCCTTCCCTCCTGCACAGACACTCTGTGGTTTGTCATTTTAGGAATTCTGAGGTTATTAAAAGACAGCTTTCTTTTAATAAAGAAAACCTCTAAATACAACAGATTCTCACTTTTATCTCCATTTCTTCAAAAGGACACTTTTATATGTCTGTTCTATAGTCTGTTTTAAGGCTTGACAAAAGAGCCTTATAACCTCCTGTTCCCTATAAATCTATAGGCTCTTATGATTTGGACCCCTATATCTTTTGCTCTGTATTAAAGGAGAACTATGGGGTCAGTGTTTTTTCCCCATAGTTCTCCTTAGGGTAACGGGAGGACACAAACTAGCGTCCTCCCGTTACCCTAAGCTCAGTATACCTATACTGAGACGCCGCAGCCGGAGCGGATCCCGGCGTAGATGACGGGATCCGCCCAGCTGCGTGAGTGACAGCTGGCTCTGCCTATCTAGAGGCAGAGCCAGCTGTACCAGCCCCCTCCCCTGTCAGCGCTGGCAGATCGGAGCGGGGAGAGGGGAATCCAGCCCTCCCCCTGTCACGGCAGAGAGCCGTGACAGGATCGAGAGGTGAGCGAACGCCGGTATGTGTTCGCTCACCTCCCGATCTACTGAGCCGACCTGTGACAGTCTCATTGTCACAGGTCGGCTAGAACTATGAGGTGAGTGGAAATCACTCATCTCATAGTTCTCCTTTAAAATGTAAGCTTTAATGGGAAGGACTCTTTTATATCTCCGGTTCCCTATTTGCCTGTAAGCTGTAATGGGAAGGATCCTCATACCTCACGTTCCCTATAAGACTGTAAGCTGTAATGATCAGGATACCTCCTGTTCCCTTTTAAACTATAAGCTGTAGTGCCTTTCATGCCTCCTGGCCCCTTCAACTCCCATTCCCTATAAAACTGTAAGATGTAATGATCAGGCCACTCATACCTCCTGTTCATTATTAGACTGTAAGTTGTAATGGGAAGGACCCTCATATCTCTGCTTACCTATTAGACTGTAATCAGAGTAAACAGGACCCACTTTTAACTGTAGTGTTCTGCACAGCTTTGTTTTGCTTTAACTATGAATGTAGTGTAGAGTGCTATTGATAAAAGTTAAATTAATTATTCTTAGTGATTGTGGCATGAAATAACCATATTCATTTATCCTAAACTAGTGACCTATACATCCAATGCGAGAGATGTGTTTAATGTGGCAGCCTGGCTGTACAGACAGTCTATGTGTTGCGCAGCAGAAATGGTGTAATCATTCTGGTTCTGTATTACATATGGTTTATGTACTGACACATGGCAACACTATATAACTGACATTTAATCTTTTAATTATATATTCTGAAGGAGCTTAATTATCATTCTGCTCTTCAGTGTTTGAGGCAGTGTTAGAGAAGGCAGGAATGATGACTCTCCATGGTGCTGGTACGGAAGGGGGGCTGTCATGAGGCAACACTTTCAAAGCATCTACAACTTTCCTAAAACAGAATTGTTTTCAATCTATAAAATGTTATCAATGTTAAAGTGATACTAAACTCAGCATTCAAACTTTAAAAATGCATTCAAGTACTCAAACTATCAACAGAAATGTAGCTTATTTGTGTATCACTCGGTTGTAGATCCTCAAATCATCTCTGAATTGGTACTGACACTTTCCTTGCTTCTGGAGGGTGCCTACTTTTGTTCCCTATAGTCCCTGTGTGTGCTGTAAAGTAGTCACCGCTCCAAGCTTGCTCCCGTGATGGACTACAATCTCATTTTTAGTTTACTAATTTGTAGAGGTGCACCGAAATGGACATTTTAAAAACGAAACCGAGATAAATTAAAAAATGTCAGGCCGAAACCGATACCGAAAATGTTTTTAATTTTTATAAACTTAAATTTTTTGATATTTTTATCCATTTTTTACTTTTAGGGGCTTCGGGGAAATATTGGGGATCTAAACAGACCCCTAATATTCCCCTTTTAAAATAGAAAAAGAGATTGAGAACACAAAGTCTTCAATCTCTTTTTCTGTGTCCCCTGTTATCAATGAACATGAATCCTCTATACTGAGTGTTCCTGTTCATTGATAACATGAGGACATGGTATGTTTACCATGGTATTGTATAACTACAATGATGAATGAATGGGGGTGATGTAGATCACTCCCATTCATTCATAATTGAGGATATAGTTAACATACCATATCCTCAATTATCTACAAACACTCAGCGATCACTGATCGCTGAGTGTGTGTACCTTGCTCTTCTCTCTGACACACTGTCACAGTGTTGTGACAGCATTATGCCAAAAGTGCCATTTTCGGCCGATATGTTTCGGCGGCCGATATATCGGTGCATCCCTACTAATTTGTATTGTAGTTATAGTCATGGGAGTGAGCTTGGAGCTGTGGCTACTTTACAACACACACAGGGACCATAGCCACCCTTCAGAAGGAAGGACAGTGTCAGCATGAATTCAGAGATGATTTGAGGATCTATAGCCGAGTGATACACAAATAAGGTACATTTTTGTATATAGTTATAGTATATAGTCAATTCTGAATTGAGAAAGCAGGTCGGATATCCAGTGAAACGTCTTCAAGAAAAATGTAGTGTATATTGTGCTTCTATATTATCCTGAATGTCATGAAGTCGTATGCCTTTTGAGTTTAATATGAAGCTGTAGAGAAACTGGGGCAATCATGAATAATTTGAAGAGATTTGTTGAGCCTATTTTGACCCAACATTTTATAGTTCCATTTCTATGATCCGTGTTTGTTTTCATATGTGTGTATGTGTGTGTGTGTATATATTACAGTATATGTCTCCTCTGTCCTTTCCTCCACCAATTTTTTATATAAATTTAATATGAATGATGTTAAACATCATGTTGCTTACGTTTCTGTAAAGTTTCTGAAGTTTTCTCCCAACTTATCCCAGAAACATAAAGCAATTTGGTTTACATGGGTAATGCAACTGGGTTCCTCCCACCCCCATCAACGTGCTAATGAAATGTTTAAATCAAACTTGCTTTTATTACATCCCTTTTTTAGACCCAATGACATCATCATTGTGTCTTTGTGCTTTATAGGCAGATCATGGCTGGTAGGATGGTCTGACAGGGTGCTGTACATAGCTTCCTTTCTCCAGCCAGAAAATGAGGTTGGGTCTGTCTTACTTGCTGCAGCTTCTAATGCACACTGGGAGAAGCTAACTTTAGGCTAATGTTGGTGCCTGTAAATGTTCAATGAGATCCCATCTAATTTATTTCGCTCTGAGGTAATAGGACATTGTTGCAATGGTGGGTCGCTTATAAAAAGTGTCCCTCCCCATCACAGAAAGCAGTGAGTTGTAGAAGTAGTGATAAATGACAATGCACTGTATATTGTGCTTTTAAATTATTGTTTGTAATTTGTATTCGTCTTTGGAAAAAAATTTGAGGGATAGCCTGTGTTTGACATGTCTGACCTTTCAGTGCTGAAAATTATTCTTTGTTTTAGCTGCAAAAGCTTGATCCTATCTGACCTATTGGCAGAGGTTGATGGCACCAGGGAAGGTTGTTTGTTAAATCACGCAAGGCATGCTAACATCTATTTGTCACTAATTACATGTCACGCATTGCCACGCTTCATTTCTGCTGGAAAATCAGCCTCTCCAATCTCATTAAGTGACAGGAGCTGCCAGGAATCTGCCAGGATGAGCTTACCTCCCGTTCCCTTTCCTTTGAAGAAGCCAATTTGATTTGAGAGAGGCTGCAGCAAACCTTATAGGGTCAGTTAACCCAAAGGTTTTGTTTCAGAGTTTGGTGATTGCTGGGAAGTTAATTTACCTATTGGTTCCTTATATCTCTTACAGAATCTGGTGGTCAAATGTCTGTTGAGTTTTCAGGTCTGCACATTTGCTTTGGCTGGAAAGAGGTGGACCCAAACCCATTGCTGGTGAATGCAATGTCAGGAGTAGAAACATCCCAGAGTGAGTGGGAACAAAGCCATGAACTAAAAAGAGCTAACAAAGCCCAGGTATTACATTATCCAAGCAGATGACTCAACTCACCAGCCCCCACCTACATAAAAATATCCCTGTAGGCAGACCCTTTTGACAGTTTTTTCTTTTATACTGCTGCATTCTTTTTTGAGGATAGGTTTTATGGTACAAGGGACAGTTAAAATCTGTGAATGATATTCAAGGCTTGGCCCCATTCGCCTTAGCAAGTCAAACAGAAAAAGGGAACATTTAAAATGGTACCATAAAAGAATTCTCAGCTTGTCACCTTCAAGATTTGGCATATCATTGGCAACTAGTGACACTTCCACTTTACAATTTTTAGTTTGGTAGTTAATACATTTTAGCCTAAGTAATTACTTTCTGGTTAAACTGGAACCTTTGTTGGGGTCTGGGGATAATACAACGGGCAAATTTTCATGATAATACTTCAAAGACATGCTGGTGGGTTAATTGGCTACAGTCTTAATTGGCCCTTGAATGTATGCATGTGAGATAGGGACCTTAGATTGTAAGTTTCTTCAGGGCAGGGACTGGTGTGAATGTGCAACTATGTAAAGCACTGCTTACATTGTCGGCGCTTTATAAAGACCTATAATAAATAAATAAAATGATAATGTGGCTTCAAGATTGTTTTGTTCTTCTAACCCATTCAAGTCCACATATGCAGCATCTTGTTAAAAGTATGGAAGGGGAGAAGCTCGGGGGAAGAGGTTGCCCCAAGCTAAATTATGGCAAAGAAGGGCACGGAGTTGTCTCAATTAGTAATCTCCTTTGACATTATATTCTACTTTGTATAGTACATATACTAGATAGAAGCCCTATTTATTCTAGTCACTGTCTTGTTTCTGATAGAATCTAAAGGAGAATGGAGTAGCATGCCTCTAGATCATTGTCTATCAAAACATTACCAACTACATATTAATGCACTTACTTATGGTAAATCATAATACACAATGGGAAATATGTTTGAGTGAAGGTAGGCAACCTATGTGACACAGCTTTCTGTATAACTAAAATGCCCGTCAGGGATTTCTAGTTCTACAGGAGCCATGCAAACACAGTTCACCAAGCCCTAGCTATTAGGAACAGTACTCACCTTGAACTGCCTGGCCTGGTGCTGCCTGTGAGTCTCTTCCACTTGTTTAAATTTTGATTCCAGGCCTTTCATTTGATTCTCCATCCTTTCTACATATTGCAGGTCTCTCTGGGTCCGCCTGTCCAGAACTTCTATTGATTGGGACATATTTTGCACCTGAAAATAGAATAAAAGAAAAACAGATGTACAAGGCAGCCAAGTTTAATATTTGATTGTTTATCATGGTGTTGTTCCATCTAGAGCTAATATACCGCTACATAAATCCTAGACAACACTTGCACTATAGGCCTCATATGATATACATCTTGCTTGATCAAGCACTGAATATAGATGTGTTCCCAGGCTAACAAATTACAGCACCCCAACCATCAAGTTGGTAATCTCATTTTCCTTCTCATGAAATCATATTTAGACCAGTAACTTAAAATCACAAAAGGTAAAAGAAATGGGATAATTATTACCACTCTATTTTCAAGACACATTTTCTATCTTATTTTGGATATTTAGTTTTATTTTTAACTTATTAGGCAGACAAGCGACTGCACATCTTATGGGCTTTACATTCCTGGTGCATCTAAACAAAATGTGTGCAAAATTTTAGTTTGTTTTCCTAAAAAAATAACCACAGCTGTGTCCTGCTGGCATTCTGCAGAGTGTGAATATTTTTCTCCAAGTGGGAAAGCAGGGATCTCCTTGTTGAGATCCAACACTCCCCCTTCAGAGACTGAACTCTCCAATCAGCAGGAAGCATAATCTTTCCTGATTGTAGAGCTATAGCTGACTCAGCAGGGGCTGACTCAGCAGGGGGGACTCAGCAGGGGGCATATAGGACATCCTCAAAGAAATCACTGCTACCCCACAAAGGTCAATTTCTTCAGCATGCTGACAGGGGACAGGCTTTTCCACCCAGGCTGTGGCTGCTTTAGAAAGAAAACTAACTAAAACCAGGGGAAAACCATTTGTTTTGATGGACCTAAAATGTATCTTGCTGCTTTAAACTGCAGGTTCAGTTGAGCTTTAAGTTGGTCTTCTTTGCGAGAGACTAAATAGCTCACTTGCATAAACTCGGCCTCATAACTTTGAATAGCTACTAAAAGCATATGACACAAGCCATTTCTGTGTGTCCTAGATTTGTACACACAAGATTCGGGCAGCCTTTGCCTCAAGCTACTGTGCGGCTACAAGCTCCAGCATGTTTGGAAGCCAGCTGGCAGTACATACTGGGTTTTGTAGTCCTTTTATAGATGGAGAGTCATATGTTGTTGATGGCTTGCCTTAAGCATTATAACATTTCTGTGTAAGTAGGACTGCACGCCTGCCTATTGACCTATATCAGGTTTACAGATGACACCATTCTGTACACCCTGCCAGTAAACAGCTTTGTGTTTTGGTTGTGATTTAACCAAATTTGCAAACTCCGCAGAAGTCTAGTCATAAGACTTTGCTATTGGCTGCTACACAACTATGTGTCCAAACATGTACAGAGTAGACTATAGTATGTGAGGCCTTCACAGCCTAGAATGGGTAATGGCATGGGTCTGACCGTGACTTTTGAGGATGGCAAATATCCATAATACAAATTCTGTTATTGCCCCACTACAGGCCTTGTACACCTGTGTTGGACACCCATATCTGTCAGATTTGGCTGTTGCGTGCAAATTCAACTGTAATTCCAATTGGTAACCTGCAAAAATATCCAGCAACTCAATCTGTGTAAGGGCAGATTTATTTACTAAAAGCTATTATTGAGCAGAGCTCTATGATTGCATTACAGGACACTCTGTAGTTAAGACTGGGGAGGATGTTATAACAAACAAACACTCCTGATGACCAAGGTAGCAAGATACAGCCCAGTGGAAATTATTTTCATTCGATAGAAGCTGCAAAAATCTGTGAAAATGCATCTTCGCTTTTGGTAGGTGTTGCGCTAAGCAATTTTAACTTGCATACTGACATTTTATCCAAATATAAACTTTCTCTAGGTATTAAGGCTTTCACACAAGGCATATCGCACTACAAAATGACCAATAAAGAAGACCCAGATGTTGATTCTATTAGATGTTTACTTAATCTCAAACAGCTTGCTAAAATCCCCAGAATGCATTTCCCAGCAAGCAAGCAATGAGGCCACATTTAATGTTCTCCTCACCTTTTCTAAGAGCTGCCTGAGCTGCTTTGTCCTGGCATCCCGAGAGCACATAGTCTGCTGCGGTGCCACCACTGTACATATACATCGGCCCTCGCTGTCCTGGGCAGAGCTATACACCTGCCAACTTTCTTCTGGGTTGGTTGGCAAGACCTAGAAAATAAGGAGAGGATAGAAATGAACAACAATGAAGTAAAGAATAAAGCAAAAATTGAAGTAAATGGAGAGAGAAAAAAATTATGAAAAGGAATGATAAGACTTAAATTGAAACCAAATTCCAGGCTGACATTGAAAGTATCTGGTGTGTGTGGGGTTAGACTGTGAAAAATTGGAGGCTATTAGACTTGCTTCATAAGTCACATGGATCAGCTTCAAAGTCATTATCTCCTCTTTTCAATGCACAATGCCGTATCATGATTCTTAAATGCAAAATAAAACCGTTATTTGCTTGTCATGAGAACATAAAAGCCACATAATGCTACATAGCTAAACACGGAATTGTGGCTATTTCACGCTCATTACCTGTAAAGAAATATTGTATATAACCTTGGTAACCATTCTTTTACAAAAAATAACCATGAAGAGTTTTTGCATTATACTATCCACCACAAAATAAAGGCTTCTCGTTTTAAGTCGAGCTGTGATCTTGCACAGCACTCACCACATAGTCAGCTCAAATTGTAATTACACAGAAAAAAGTCAGAACTCTGCTACTTAATCTCACTGGCTGGGAACCAAATTGCCGGCTGTCTTGGCATGCAGCAAAATGACAAGAGCATTGGAAATTGAACACACTCTAAGGCACTTTTGCACTTCCAAGATTTTACTTAGGTACAGTGTGGGGATGCTGCAGTTAGTTCTTCAAAGATGAGATTTCTGCTGAGTTTTTAAATGAAGATGGCCTTGAAGGATACATTGCTGATTTAGTTAGACCTGTGCGATCAGTGAATGCTATCTCTAGGACCTGCCAGCTTTGTGGAGAGTTGTGTGATTTGTGACTCGCTCAGTGCCGTTTACTTGCTGGCAAAGTAATGCTGAACTAAACCTTAACTACTGCAATAATTGTTCATACAGATGCATATAATCAAAATCTGCATCTACACATTCTAGAAGCCAGATTGATGCGTGCTGCACAAAATAGGAGTGGCCTGAATTCTGAGGACAGCCTCAGTTCTGGGCTTTAAAAACATTTTAGGGGAAATTTCACCTCTAGTGGCGACTTAAATTCTAAATATAACCTCAGTTCTAGGAGTGATTCTTATGTGTCAGATTTTCTCTGTTCTACAGATCAAAAGTCTAGGCGGTATCGCAATTCGAGGCATGACAAAAATTCTAGGCTTGACCTTGATTCCGAGGGTGATATGATAACCTTGATTCTAGGTCTAGAATTGTAGATATGATCTTTATTGTTGGAAGGATCTGAGTACTAGCTATTACCTCAATTCTGGGGGAATTTTATATTCTATGGATGACTTGTATTGCAGGACGTGATCCAAATTTGATGGATCACATACTGTGAGGAGATCTAGGGGGCCGAATTTATATGTGATAAATATAAGGTGACAAAATACAAAGTAAACAAACAGAAACAAATCCCTTTTCCCTTGTCTTTGTTCGTCACATAGATACACACTGATTATAAATATACATTTTTTTATATTTGTTTTTCATGCGCTAAACAGACCATGCTATATGACGGAGCAGTGTGTAATAGGCACAGCTGGCCAAAAGGATGGATAAGGAGAGATTGGGATTTGTTTTTTCAGATGCCTTCAACTGAGAATCTCTCCTCTTGTCCTTCCTGCTGCCACTTGTCTCTCCGCTATGATAATGAGGATTGTAGAAAGGCTTCTAATGTCTCTCTTGTGACCGAAGAACCATTTAACAGAGATTCCTGCCGCCTTCACATTCACACAGGGTGCTGAGCAGTGACTGCATCCCTGATCCCAGGACACTGGAAGAGAAAGCCATTCCTTCTGTAATAGCCACAACAATATTATCTAGACCTCCTCCCTTTTTATTGCTTTGTTCCACAGACCAATCTGCTGTTTAACCTTGCATTTTAACTCGCTCACAGTGGTGGAGAGAGCAAGATGTGCTGATATCTTACACTCTGGGGTTAACATAATCTCACATATACACCCTCCCCCCAAACATTTGGGCATAAACAGCCAACTGGTGCCTGGCATTTTATTCCCCACAACTCACCCCGATGCTTCTGTCCAATGTGCCTGGATTGGCAGCTGTTAGCTTTGTGGTGTTTAAGCCCACCAGCGACGGCAGGGTTTGTGACATCCAGTTGGTAATCATTGCCATGGTGCTCAGGACAACCCCAATCTTAAGTAAAGGCACAGACATCTCTGCTCCGGTCTCCTTCGCCAACAAACCTTCATTCTGTAGCAGCCGGGGAAGTTGACTTTGACTTCAGAGAGCTTGCAGGCATCATTGGTGCCTCCCAATCCTCCAGCATGGCAAGTCGCCTCCGAGACATCTTTGCCTGCAGATCAAGCTGTGCCTCGATGCTTCTAGCACAAAACAAATTCTTTCAGGATGTGGGAAGAAAAAAAAATGTGAGAAAGCCGGTGAGTGGAAGGTGAGCAGAATTCTCTCTCACACTCTCTCTGGTGCTGAGCCTTGGCCGGTATCCTTTTCACAAAATGCTGGTCCTCCTCCGGAAGAGAGAGGTTATTTTAAGAGCGTATCCCTGCTGCTGCTGGCTGCCAGTCTCCAGATCCCTACCAAGCTGTGCAATTGACATGCAACTAACTGATCAGAGGAAGGCTGGGGATGGATTAGTGCTGGGAGGAGGGGCTGCAGGTTTGTTGTAAGAAAACGCATGCTGATGTCACGTTAGATTTTTTTTTTGTTTTTCACTCTCATCCCTATGCCCCCCTCCCTGATTCTGCCCACCCCTTACTTGTTATTTTAAAAGAGGATTTTAGAAAAGAAGTATAGCCAGGTGAAAATGCTGCCTAGTGCAAAAATCACCCTCATTAAAGGAACCCAGCACTTCAACAATTACATTACATTATACAGCTGCCTCCTGCTCTGACTTAAATGCCACTGCTGAAAACGAAGTGACTTATTAAGAAATTATCATCTATACTCGCTGCTTTCTCAACATGTGATCCTGCTATTGTACAAAAAAACAGTGGTAAAGTTTCCAGCCAGCAGGTGCTGAGATCTGTGTGTAAATATATAAATAGTATATTGCATGCTGTGACATGCTCTATAGATTATCGTGTTCATATAGAATTTTATTTATCTCCATCGCTCCCTCCCTGTCTCCCTCCTCCTCATCCCTGAACTCTCTTCTCTATCTTTTCTCCTTCCCTTCTCTCTATCCTTCACCCCTGTCTCGCTTCTGCTCTACACCCACCTTTCTTTTTTTCCCTCTCCCACTTTTCTCTCTCTCCTCCCCTATTTCTCTTTTTCTCTCATGTCATTTATCCCTTCCCTCTCCCTATCCTTCAACCCTGTCTCACTTCTCCGCACCTTTTTTTTTTCCTCTCTCTTCCCTTCTCTTTCTTGCTTTCTACTTTTTACTCCTTTTTTTTCCTTTGTTCTCTCTCTCTCTCTCTCTTTTTTCACTATCTCTCTTTTTTAATCTCTCTCTCTCTCTCTCTCTCTCTCTCTCTCTCTCTCTCTCTCTGCTGAAATTTCTCCTGCCAAGTAAATAAAGAGGAAAGAACATTTTCCCTTTTATAATAGATAAACCACGAACCACAGTGAGTTGGTCGGCTTTTATTTGCAGTTCAGCAACCAAATGGCTCATTTAGTGGTTTCAGCGATGATGGAGTTAAACTCTGACAGTGATCGATGTAAAGTGCAGCAAGTAAGTGGCCCCGAGGGAACACAAGAGGAATCAGTGAGGATGCTGCACTTCCTGGTAGAATGGGCCATTGCAGGGCAGGTATGAGCACCATTAACATAATGTATGTAAATGATTCCGCCTTGTGAAAGTGCTGACACAGGTAAGCGCCCCTCTGGCACAAGCAAAGAGAGCAGCCAATGATTGGAAAATTGATTATGATACAATTTGTAATTGATAAGCTCTTGTTTAGTTCATCTCTTTTATATCCTAAATTAATGAACACAATCTTGCTAGTACACAATAGGAATGTGAAGTATGGTGTGGCGGCGCCATCTGCTGATGCTTTCTCTAACTGCACCTCTATTTGTTCAAGAGGTCAGTTCTCTCCACTGCACCAATTAAAAAGATGCACTTCACGCCTTTAATTAAGGGGTGCAGGATGTGGGAGATTATACACATTTAGATCCCAGGCTACTTCCATTTCTGTGGCATTATTTTAATACTCTTAGGGCCAATTACAGTTATATCAAGAGACATGGGTAATAGGCCAATTATAGCTGTATCAGGAGTCTTAGGCAGAATGAAGCCACAGTAGAGTGTCATTCAACTGCAGATGAATGTTTCCCCCTCCTTGATACTCATCAGAGCATACAACAGACCATTAGGGAAGACATGCAAGAGAATTACTGACTTTTTACTGTAATGACCAGAGAAGCAAATCTTGGTGTTTTGTTTTTTGTTTTTTTTTCAGAGACATTAAATAACGTAGAAATGGACATGTCTGCTGATTCAGTAGCACTGCAATTCTCAGCATGCATTTCCAGAGCCCTCTTGTCATTTTGGCATAAGGTAATCAAACATCTAAGGAGGCAGAAATAAAGGAAGTAGCCTTAGTATGATGAAGCTGCCTAAATCCCACCAAATAGCACTTCTTGTACCCACCCCTAGATCCTTTCCTGTCCTCCCCACCTGTAGTGCAGCCCCTCCCTTCCTTGTGATTAACAATATGCCCTTTTTCCCCATTAAATTCATGCTGAGTGAATGCTATTCAGTGGGGCAGATGGCACACTGTGGTTTTCTATGGAGAAAATGGCAGTATTTAAGATCACTCGTCTTATGTTGCTCTTTGTAGAGCATATATGGAGCTTCTAAAAATATGAGCTTAGGCCTGAACACTTTGAACCTAGGGCTTGCCACATATGAAACAGTTGGAGGAATTTGTTGTTTCTGTTTTATGTTGTAGGCAGGGCCTGATTTTGCTCTCTCTGCTGCCCCAAGGTCAGGTTCCTCAATGCAACCCCCCTCCCCCCGGGCCTTAGAAGATAGGAATTTCACACCC